ATAGCTAGCAATCCAAAACAGTCCAGTGGAGCCTGAGCGGTGGGTGTTGCCTTTTGACACACTTCCGGTGATGTCAGGGGGTGTGGCATATGCAAATAAGTTATGATAATGAGTTATGCTAATGAGCTCCTGCACCTCTTTTTCTACGAAACGACCCCTGACTAAAACAGTAACGTTATATAGCATACGCAGTCTTGCATTTGTTTGAACATCCATGAGGACACAGTCACAAAGATCTCAAGATTTCTGGAGTATCCTGCTCAAAAAGTTTCACTTCCATTTGTACTGCTTGCCCCTCCCTCCTCACACTTCGCTCTTGACACCCCCTCCTTATCCAGACCTATTCCACCCCAGACAATCTTGTATTCACTGAAATTCTTGAAACTTAGCACTTTAGAGATAGGTGGGTGATTCTGGCCGATACCTTGAATTGAAGCTGATAATTGATGGGCAGCCAATGAGGTAACTGCAGAATGGCTGTCCTGTGCACGTTCTGCCCAGCAACTCATAATAACTAAGATGTGGCAGGTGTTTCTGTACGCATTCTCAGCTGGAGCAAGGGGGTGCCTGGATACACCCCTAACCCCGCCAAGAGCCACAGCGACGGAAGCTGAAGATTCTCAGCTGGAGCCAGGGGGCGGCATGGACAGCGAGCTACCTGCAGTTCATTGCCTCCGACGGCAGTCAGAAGCAGTTTAATATTTTCGTTTTTCAACTCCTTAAGACAGGAAACATGCCCAACACCAAAGTCGCCTCCACATAAGGAACAGAATGGCTTTATCTCCCAACCACAACAACTAAAGTTGCGTCTGCCCCAATTAAAATCAGCCTTCACATATAAGATACTGACATTTTTGTTGGCCAGGGCATATGAGCCTGCAGGTTAGAACTGGCCCGTCCAGAGCTCTTATCCAGCCTGTGAGCAACTGGTCATTACCTTTATTGCCATATGACAGAGGCTGTGCATTATGTCCCTGTATACTGTCCAAGTGTGAATGTGTAACAGGCGGTGGAAGTAGGAGGGAGAGCATTAGGGAGATACTGGAAGGAAATACTGTAAGAGTGTTAATGTTTTAAGCATGTTTGTATTTTGAATAAAAAATAATATTGTTAATTTGTCTGTGTCCTTTATAAAGTTTATATCTCCGGTACCTGGAATTACATTTTATAGCACACATGGCCTGGCCCGACAAAGTGACATTTATGTCAGATCCAGCCTTTGTAACAAATGAGTTCAACAACCCTGTGTTAAACCTTATAGGCATGAGAGCTAAAGGATGTGAAAACTCACAAGGAAAAGGACCAAGGGCATTACTATTGGGAATGAAGAGAACGCCAGTGTCGTGTCCTGCTTATTGGGGAGACTGTTTCTCCTTTAAAACACACTCTGTGTACTTGAACTTTGATTTCTGCTGCCACCAGGAATTAAAAATTCCAAATCTCTGTATTTTGGTAGAATGACCCAGGGTCTGGGCGCTTCAAAGGACTATGTGGCCCTGAGGAAGGACTGTACTGATTGCTGGGATAAGTTTAAACAAATAATGATTTATTTATTTATAAAAGAACAAAATAAGTTTCTGGGGATTTTTGAACTGATGTTGAAGAAGGAAAATATAACTGACAAAGCTTGGCATCATACACAGTCTCTCAAAAACCAAAACTCAGTCTAAACTCTCTTTCTCATAACCACACAGGCTAAACTCTCTTGCCCTTAGCCACACAGATGAAACTTTCTTGCTCATATAGCCACACAGGCTAAACTCCAACTTCTTCCTCTGTCATACAGACTCTCACAAAAAACTCTCCACACCTGTCTCTTCAAGAACACAGAATCACCTCAGAGATATCTCTCCTCCCGCACTCTCAGTCATCAGCCAATCACATCACACTTATCTCCCTCTATCACTCTCCTTACATGACTGCAGTCACACTAAACGTTTAAAGAAACACACACACACCAACACATGAAATCATTACAACCAGGGCGCGAGCAAGACTTCTCTGGGGCCAGCACAAAAAGAATCCCTGCACAAACAACCTCACCCTGTTCATTTTTTATTTCCTTCCTTTATACTCCACTTTTCTTCCCAGTGGGAAATCAAAGCGTCTCACATCATTCTCCTCGCCTCCATTTTATCCTCACAACAACCCTTGGTGTAG